TTGATTTGACTGCATTGCTGGAAAACATGAGAAAGATGAGAGTTTTGGGTCTTTGTATGCCGCGTAAGATGGAAGTCTCAAGGCTCTATATGCCGCGTCGTTTGCTTTCTCATCAAACTTTAATTGTGCTTGTATCGTGAAGAGAAGTTTTGGATCTTAGTAAGGCGTGATCCCTTTGTCGCTTTCTTCTCTAATTGATGGAGGCGAAATATAGGAGATTTGGGTCTCAGTTGTGACTCTTCGCTGCTTCCCAAGCTCAATGGTGACTTTGCTGCACATACGAACGCGGGAGGAGAAAAATGAGATATTTGGGTCTTAGCTTCGAGTCCGATCAATAGGTTGGACACACAATTATTTTTAGGCCACAATTCTTTTTCCTGGATTGAAATGCTCTAATATCACTTGGATACGATTTGACATATAAATCAACCGATTTTTCACACAAATTACGACAAATTAATATTTTTGTTCAATAACATCAAATCAAAACAATACAATACTAACAACTCCCACGAACACATAAGAAGCGCCTACAATTGAGAAGCAGACGATCTCTCCCAGTTCCTACAATTCGGGAGGTAGGGAATCTCTCCCAAACCCAAATCCTAAGTCTGAAAACACAATCTCATGCATAATCCTAACCCTAAGCTATTAAGCCCTATTTATATCCAGCAATAGTAATAATAATAGACCAATTTCCCTTAGGTTGATGAAAGAAAAAATTGCTCTTAGGCTGATGCGTAGCAGCTGTGTAGGTGGGAAGAGTGTGATTGAGATAATTATAACTTGGAATGACTAATTATTCTAGAAATAGAGAAGAAAGTATAGAGACATTGATAGGGAGGATGAAATTGAGAGAATATATAAGTTAGTAAGAAGGATAACGAAAGAGAACATAAATGTGAGGAGGCTGGGGATTAAAAAAGTAATAAATGGGTGCACAAAGACACATTCCATTGCGATGGTGATGATTGTAAAATATTGGAGTAAAAAGGTTGAATTGAGCAATGGTTGGAGAGCTAAAAATTCTGTAAAATCACCTTTGAAATTATACTGATGTAAAGATAATGATTTGTGGACAATGAAGCACGTATTTAAAGATATTAACCTTTGAAAGTGCAAGATCCAATGGTTGCAATTGGGGAAAAGAATTCAGCTACAATTTGAACAGTGAGGTTTACAGGGCATGGTTTAAACTCACAGAGAATGATACTATCAGCAGTCATGTGATTAGAAGCGTCTGAGTTGATTGTCTGGGTTCTGGTTATTTTGGATGTAACCATGAGAACATTTTCTTTTTCAGCTGTAGTAGATGTTCACAACAAATCTATTCATTTGAACGGTTTGTTTAAATTTTGGTGTTTGCTAAAACAATCTTTGAAAGAATTTAGATTTATTTTTGTTGAAAGGACGTGGGCCAGATGACATTGGAATCTTAGTGGTGACAAACTGACAATGTTTCCATCAATTTCATGATTTTGTGCTATCTTTTATTTGCACCAAGTAGATTATTCATATGTGTCTTGTCTTGTGACAATATTTACACAAAGGTTTGTTTCTATTTCTTGTGCCTATCACCTCTATAATTGAGTTGGGTTACATAAGTCGCAAGGGCATAGTTTTTAGAGTGTTAATTTGGGCTCCTCCAACATTATTTCTCTTTTGCTTTCTTTTCTTTTTTTTTTTAGACTTCAGGGAAGGCTTCTTGAACGCTAGGAATAGGCTTCTTGCGTAAAATTTTCCCATGAGCATCATCTAAATTTTAATCTAGACTTAGTACTTGCACGCATTCTGTTTATGCTATCTTTTATTATTGATTATCTTTTGTGTATCATTATTCTATTTTATTGAAGATGTTATCACCAACGATGAGTTAAAAAGGTTTTAAGTTTATCATGATTGAGTCATTATCTTGATATAGTTCATGAATAATGCTCTAAAACTCGAATATGTTTAGAGATTTTTAACAATTGAGTTCGTTTTTTTGGTGCATCTAAAATATTTTTCGTGGTTTTATAGTGAAAATACATTTCTCCAATTTCATTGGTCTTGACATTTGCTTGCAATGACAACAGCGTCCTATTTTTGACCGTCCATGTCTGGAATTTGGGGTCTTTTTCATTTGATGAGTGAGCTGCTTTTGTAAGATAATATTCCTTGCTTTTGACACAAACAAGCATTATTCATTGAGATTATTAGATGAAGTTATACCTATTAAGCTTGTGGCTGATTAAGAGAGCATACGTTCTTGATGAGTTGGTGCTGCTGATTGGGATAGCTGGACCAAGGCTAGATGTCAACTTGGAGCCTCTTTTGCTTTCGCCCATGAGGGAAGGCACTTCTTGGATGGGAGGAAAATCACATGGAAGAACCAAGGAAATTGCCATGTAGAAATATATGGAAGATTTTATTGATTCAATTCTGCAAAAAATATACTACATACAAGTGGAAGGGATGATCTACGATTCTCTCATGGATGTAAAAAACTTCCCTAAATCAGAAAAGGAATAGTAAGCCATGATCTAAATGTTTGAGACGTGTGGGCAAACAGATGATGCTAAATAACAAGCAGGAAGATCTCTGGACTCTCTACTATCTTGGACATCAGTACATCTTATAAATAATTTAACAAAAATATAGTTTACTCACCTCAACATCAACAAAATGATAACCAAATGCCTTTAGATGATCAAGTTAAGAAATGCTGATTCTTTACTTCAGATCGAGAGCAATTTTCCCCATCCAACCTTCATTGAGGCTCATGATCCCAAGAAATAACTGATATTACTCGGTTTAATAAAAAAAGGCTTACAAATTGATTTCGTCAATTGAAAAGAAGCTTCGGGAAAGCTCCTGCTATTCAAAATAACATAGAAGGGAAGAGAGTGATGCTTAAACAAAACAAATGAGAACATTTGGAGCAGGAATTTGTGAGAACTTAATTGTAAAAAGGGAGCATAGGGAAGCAGGGAAAGAAAGTTTCAAGTGAAAGAAATTGAGGCCATACCTGTCAAATGCTGCAATGCTGTGAAAACTGGTTTCCCTGTAATCCATATTCTACCAGCTTCCCATGCTACCAAAATTCCGCTCCTTGCCTGCACCGTGAGTTTTCTATTGAGCACGATGCCATTAAGCAGCAGGACGTATTTGTTATGTATTTCTGTGGAAGTTGACTGCTGGAGGTCTACAAATTTTTTCAACTGTGATTAAACTTCTAGCTATAGGAATCACTGTTTTGAAATTAGCTGAACAAAAAATGTTTTGGAATTAATTTTAAGGGGAAGGTACAAAGAAGTGAAAAAACCTCTGCCCGTATAGCAGCTATAACTCTCCTATATCACCGAGATTTGATTTTTGCTGTGACCAGCTCTCAATGGAAGGTAAATTGGAGGTACTTGTTCATTGTTCTGCCACAATTTGAAAGTGGGGGAAAGAACTAATTGGTTAGAACGTCAATGAGAATGTTTTTCTGAGTTCGAATGCTACCTCAAAAAATGGGCAGCTCAAATGAGTAAACATTGTATGGTAGTTCAGTTTTATTCAGTGCTGAAATTGATGTTTGACTTGGTCTTTATTGAAGGGCAAGTCATACCATTTATACCATGAACCTCGAGTTGATCAAATACTAGTTTTCACACTAGGAAAACTAGTTGACTTTACATAGAGATAATGGTTTATGAGCTTGTAAAGTTTAAATGAACTACTAAAAGCGGCCGGCTTAGTTAATACATCAACATTAATTATGGCCAAAAGCTACTTTTGGTTACACAGCCTTCTTTATAAAACAATAAGTAGGTGGCTGAAGAATATTTGCATCAGGAAACTCTCAGAAGTCATTCTTGCAGAAAGTTTGCAGTGTAGATTTATTTCTTAGTGGTATTTTGTTTCATCCTCTATTGTTAAGAGTCACATTTATAAAATCCTTTCATTGTGATTTAGGCTAACTTTATAAAATTCTTTCATTGTGATTTAGCTTTCTATTGTTGTTGTATTCTTTTGTCACAAATAGTCTATTCATTACTGGTCAATGGCCGAGAGGTAGGTAGGTAGTTCCTTTTTCTATTAGTTTTTAACCTAGCTTTAGAATAATACTAGGATCCACTGCAATTTTTTGATGAGTATCATTTGCAATCTATTAAAAATGACACTCATTAAGATCACATTTGAAACTCAGGTAGTGCAAACCCATCCTGTACACCGAAAAACCTTTAAAGATTAAGCGCAATTAAGCAGCTAAGTGCCATGCTTTTTGGTTAGAAGAAGTAGTAGAAGGATGCTCTATGATATTGTTAAGTGTTATGTTTGGGGCAATTTTGTGAGGCAGTAAAACAGACTATTTTATATTTGGGAGATTGCAGAGATAGCGACTCTTGAGGCAGACACGGCAAAACTATCTCGCAACATTGATCAAAGAATTTGTGATTGGAGGACCATGCATTATTTATACTCGAGGGCTGCCATTAAGTGCTATTATCAGACTGAAGGTGAAGGGTTTTCTGATTTGAGTCCAAAATCGGTTAAGAAACATGGTTTTTTGCCATTATGAGCTATATAAGATGATCATTCATCGCTGGTCGTTTTTTGTTCTCTATTACTTGTTTCATGCAAAAGAGCTTGATTTTTAGAAGCAGTTGTGTTTGACTCGATAATTGTTTGTGTTTGGCTCCTTTTTAAAGCTTGATGGGCTTGAAGAATATTTTCAGCCTAGCATGAATTTGGGCCTGCTCAATCATTTTTTGTTCTTCAAGCACTTTATATATATAAAAAATTATCAATGTTTACATTCAGATATATAAATATATACAAAATAATATGTAAAAGTTTATTTAGCTATGTATTTTACTATTATAAATTATGAAGTATTCTCTTTAATTATGGGTAACATATGTTTTGAAATTTACCGTGCTTAAAAGTCATACAATGAAAGTTACCACTCATTCATATTCCACTTCCTAAGGCCTTGGACCTTTCTTAAATTCGTATTTTATTTGTTTTTCTAGTGTGATCTTTTGTGAGGCTGTTGCTATATATGGTGTCATTGTTGCCATCATTTTGCAAACCAAGTTAGAAAGTGTAGCACCATCCCAAATATATGAAGCCGAGTCTCTGAGAGCTGGTTATGCCATCTTCGCTTCTGGTATCATCGTCGGCTTTGCGAATCTTGTTTGTGGGTTAGTTCTAATTTCTGGCCTTATGATGTTAATAATCTAATTGAAGTGTCAAAATAATCCCCTGACAACTTACATGGAGCCATATTATTCCAGTCTTTCAAAGTGCTAAATTAGTACCCATACTCTTAATATGAATTGAAATAATCCCTAGAAAAGACTATTTTAGAAGAGTCCAGGGTCTGAATTAGCACTTTTATAGACCTGCTGCAAAAATTTAAGGGACCATTTTCACACTTTTTAATAATATAATTATTTAAGTTGTCAAAATTTAAATGTTGACTTGTCAAGCTTGAAAAGATGCTTCTGAAACAGGCTTTGCGTTGGAATAATTGGGAGCAGTTGTGCCCTCTTTGTGCTCTCTCCGATGCCCAAAATTCCTCACTCTTTGTGAAGATTTTGGTGATTGAGATCTTTGGCAGCGCGCTTGGTTTGTTTGGAGTGATCGTGAGCATAATCATGTCCTCTCAGGCAACCTGGCCTGCAAAATCTGGATGATGCTTTATCAGCTGATTGCTTTTCAGCTTTTTCTGGTAAAAATACTTCGCGTCCCATGTAATTCCTCTAATCTTTCTTGTAAGCATTCTCTTATTAATAAGATTTTCCTTTAGCTTTTTGTACGGATGAAGATTCTGTCGAATTTTTCCTGTATTCCTGTGTTAGTTTAAATGTTATCAGCCATGGAAGATAGACTTTTGTGCCCACTTATTCAAGTGCTGTGTATGGTGAGCTTTTTGTAACGTAATTCTTAGGTGAGCTTTTTGTAACTTAATTTTTAGTGAATTGGCTTGACTAATATCCATATTGTGCGAACAATCGTAATAACTGCGCTGATAACATAATCAATACTCCATGCTTGGGCTTTAGTTACCAATAATAGTTTAGTTAAACTCGTTAAGCCATTTAAATGGACATGCTTATCCTACATGACGTGTAATGAGAAATCTTCAAGGGCGTTGTTTATTTTGATGTAAAATGGCTGTAAAAGTAAATACAGGAATTTTAAACTTTTACTGTTTGGTAATTAATAATTTAAAAGTTAAATAGAAATGTCAGGGAATTAAAATTTGTAAGACCAGTTAAAAAACACAACATTTAAAAAAATGCCTCTTTCGTTCGCATCAAATAAGTTGTGCGTTCGCTGCCTTGCACGGTCCTTCTATATTGTCTGTGCTGCCTCACAATCCTCCATTCAACTCTCCCCCATTTGATGCTGCATTGCTATCCTTCATTTGGTTCTCTCTCGCCGTTAATATTCTGGTGAATTCGTTCATTTTTATGGGAGTGGGATTTGCATGCTTGGTTGTCACACTGCCCGAGCTTGTTTGAGAATCTTCTGCTAGAAAATTTAGCGCTTCCCTGTTCGATGTACAACTTGCACCATTTCAGTCTGTAATCATTTGTTTACTTTGCGTGATTGTAGACTCCCTATGAGTAGAATACTTGCAGCTGGAAGTTATTTTCTTTTGAAATATATGGACCATTTATAGCTTTGAGTTTATTTCTGTTGTTTCTCTGCGTATTGTCACAGACAAAAAGTCCCACATCGGCTAGGTGTAGTGCCGAAAAATAGTATTTAAGTCCTGGGCTGCCCACCAACCCGAAAAGCTCTTTTGGGAGGTGACAAATGGTATCAGAGCCGATTACTGGCTACCGGGTGTGTGGACTCTCCATGGTCCAGTGGGACCCTCGGTGGAGCCGATCCGTGATGAGGGCGTCACGTGATTGGGTGGAGGAGAATGTCACGGACAAAAAGTCCCACATCGGCTAGGTGTAGGACCGAAAAGCAGTATTTAAGTCCTGGGCTGCCCACCACCCCGAAGAGCTCTTTTGGGAGGTGACAGTGCTGTCGTGAGGAACTTCATGATTGAAGTTTCCTTTTGATTCAAACATATACTTTCCTGTTATATTTTTCCAAGTTATGTTCTTTCTTATAAGTATTAAATTTTTTTTTTACATTTACTCTGTATATGAAACTGGGAAATGGGAGCTATTGCTGAACAAGTTCCATTTTTTGGCTAGGATCATTTGGCTATCCATGTTTTGAGTCGGTTACTAGGATTTGCTCTTTTGGAATTTATAACAATTTGGGTTATTAATGCTTATTTAAATCCATAAATTTTCCTTGTAATCTTTCTGCTCTGCTGGTTTTTTCTTCTTTTCTTCTGTGAAACTGCTTTGTTTTTTGTTTGCTAACTTAGAATTTGGAAATTGTTTTGACATTTTAAGTCATATTTCTGGTGTCATTTGCCCATTTTGTTGGATAGCAAGCTTTCTTTGCCAGGACATTATTTATTTTTATGATCTGTTAGATGTTTGCATGCAATGCATGTCATGATTTGCTGGTAGACATAGTAGGTTTACATGGAGTAAAGAAAGATTCATTTTTGTAATTTTATTTGTAATTTTATTATTTATTTTTCATTTCATCAGTCTAATATTAATGTGTATCCTATGGTTTTAATGCTTGCAAATGAGAACAGGTGCATTACCCTCTTGATGATAGTTTTGTATGAACATTTTAAATCCTTATTTGACATTCTTTCTTATTCAAGTTTATTGGTATAATCTAATCTAAGAAAATAGGTTTAAATGATTTCAAGCCTTGTTTTCTTTGGACAACATTTTTTTTTTTTTTGCACTTTCTGCACTTTCTAAAACCAATGTTTAATGTTTATTGTTTATCTTTATAATATATGCCCAAACTATTTAAATTTTTATTATAAAATCAGTGTTTCTAAATGTCAGGTTTTAGCAGTTTTCATTGATGAACGGAATCGCATGACTTTTTTTTTATTATTCTTTTTATGTAGTTGCTTTATGACACTTATTTCTCTAATGGATTTTGACATTGCAATTAGGTTAACAATGGCTAGACTACTTAAAACTCACAGTTGCATCCATGCATCTGATCATACTGTCTTACATAAGATAAAAATGCAATGATTTTCATGGTCTCATTTTATTAGGTGGTTAATGAGTTTATTCATGTTTTTTTCTGGTCTTAAGAGATGTATAACTTATCATGTTGAAACTGCTAATGCAGGTGTCTTTTATGTGTATCGGATTGCTATTGAGATTAGTAGCCCATGTTATAAGTTTTTTCTCTCATCAATTAAATCAAGGTCTTCAAATGCATTTCTCTTGGGTTATTTTCATCATAGGTTCTTTTATTCTGTTGGAACTTTTATGATAAAATTTACATGAAAAAAGTATACTATTACTAGTGATGATTAATGATTTTTTTTTATTGGAATAGGATTATAGGCAACTAATAAAAATGTAGCATGAAGTGTCGTTACACTAATCATAAAAAATTCACACTTACTGTTTCAAAGTTTTAAAAGGCGTGGGTGTTGGGCGGGGCATTTTAACTGTCGCGGGGCCAAGCATAAGCCCCAAAGCATCGAGCTTAAGTCCCATAATATAAAAAGATAATAATGAATATAAATATTAAGAGACAAAAATAAACTAGGAATGCTAGAGAAAAAGATTATTAAAAGATATTAAAAGAACTTGTACTCTTTTTTATTTTTTTGGAAATAAGCTTATACTTATTCAATTTTAAAATTGGTCTTCTAGGATTAAAATCTTCAAGATATTAACATAAATTCAATACAAAAAGTAGAAATATATAAAAATGAATTTGTGCTTAATCGATCTCAATTCTTGAATGTTATTAATTCTTTAAGTTCATTTTCAAAATATTCTTCTTCAACAAAAGTTGTGTTTAGGTCACATTAGGTTCTTCATATTGTTTATATTCATTATCCACTTCTAACGTCATCATCATTCTCAATATCAGATGCATTCTCAATTTGTTTCTCCTTATCATTATTGCCTAAATTATAAAAACAACAAAAATAGCATTAATGAAATATTTATGATCTTTTTTCTATAAGAATGCATAAATATGTAAAGAGTAATTAAATGTAAAAATGAAACCTACATGTTATTTCATTTAACTTCCTTTTTCTATGAGAGTTTATAATGAAAATATCATTTCTTCATTGTGTAATATTTTTGATTATTCATTTGCATTTGTTATGGAGACATTTCTGATTACATCAACATCAAATACTTGTTCTCCATTCACGCAATAAGATTATTATGGAAGCATAGGTTCTTTTTTATCAACAATCCACTCGTCATCAGCGTCTATGCCATTTATCAATATTGGATCGAAAATTTGTTATCTTCTTATTCCACTCCCTCAATCTAGTATTATATATTACATGCACCAGAGCATTCAATCTCTTGTGCACCAATCTATTTCTCTTTTTAGTATGAATCTAAAATTAAAATATATATATAGGTGATTATTAAAGCGAATAATAATAATTAAGAAATAAAAATTTATTATTGATTTAAAAGTGCTCCAATTTCTTTCACAACCTTATGAATTGTCAATGAGGCTAACAACTCGAATAGCCAAATTCGTTAGTTCGGGGGTTTTCCCACCAAATCTCATCCATCAATCAGTGGAAGATCTCAACTTTCTTGAGTCTATTGCAAATCTACTCCCAAAATCTCTTCTTAAGTTATAATATTAGCTCTAAGGCGATCTTCTTAATCCAACATTATTCTCATACAAGCGATTAACCCTTTTTTCACCTCTTCATATAGATAAATTATCTTCAAAGCAAAAATGAGTGTTTAAATAATAACCACCCGCATGTAGTGGTTTATGAAGTTAGACTTCCCATCTTACATTAAATTTCCTCCAAATATGTCCATACTTCTTTTAACTATGCCTACAATTAAAAGTAAATTTTTTTTAAATTCATTAACTCATAAATATAACCCATAGCCGACCTTTCTTCTAAGTCAACCTCTCTTAGAACATTTACAAGAGGTAAACCACTTTTGATACAGTAAGTAAGATGACCCAAAAAATATGGATCGAATGAAATAATACCTCGAGCTTTTATACCTTATGCCTTATTAACCCATTGACTAGAAAACCAGGCTTTTGAGGAGAACATTGCCTAAAGTGGCTGCTTCTGTTTGTAAATGCTTTGAAAGGGAAAATACGTAGTAGCAAACCGTGTGATAACTGGACGAACAAGCTCGCTTTCATTTGTAAAAGATCTCATCAAGCCAAGAACCCATGTGTACCCGTAAATGAATTTAACTATTTTTTTTACAAGTATGCTTTCGTGAATCTTCAACTTTCCAATATCTTCTAATATTAGGTTAATATAATGTGTTGCAGATGGTGTCCAATGAATATGTTCTTTTTTCATTATCTTTTTGCTCACATTCACATAATTTGACCCATTATATGTTATAATTTGCACCATTTTTTCTTCTACTTCTTTAATCACGTCATCCAAATAAGTAAATAATAACTCGTCTCTCTTTATAACATTAGAAGTATTCACATATTTAAGAAAAAAAAAGTCCAAATTGGACTGTTAACAAGAAACTTAATTAATGTTGTATTTTTTTTCCATTTGTCCAACCATCTGACATAATCAAACACTCATATTTACTTCATATCTTTTTATGCTCTAACATCTGATTGATTGTAGCAACTTCTTCTTTGAGTATCCAAGTTCTTAATTCATGCATTATAAGTGGAGTAAAACCAGGTCCAAAGTTTGTGATTGCTTCAAATATAGACATATAATATGGGTCATTGGTAACAATTAATATCAGTCTGACTGAGTAGCTGAATCTACCCATTGCCTACATGTTTCTTTTCTTTCAT